CAAAATACCAGACAAACTCCATAAGTACGGAAAGAGATCGTTTGTAACCGGCTGTACCAATTTAAGACATGATGCCCTCACATGCCATGAAATGTCAATTGGTCATAAACAAGCGAAATCGATATTCGACGCAAAGAATGCTCCACCCACAGTCACTTGGGGGCTGAAAATCAATAAATACTAAATTTTTTAAAAAACCAAGTTTTATGGAAGGACAGAGGAGAAAGAAGTTGAGTGCTATACAGGCAGTAGATGAAGCAGTAGAGCAGCAGAGAGCTGCTGAAGCACTTGATGAGGAGGAAGTTGCAGAAGCTGAAACAGATGGTGATGGTGATGCTCATTTGGTAGCTGGATTAGATTCTGAATATGGTTCAGATTTTTCTGATCTAGCCGAGAGCAACAGTGACACAGACGTCTGATATATCATGTTCTAAATATGCATGTTCTCTACAGCTACTTTGTTGTTAAAATAAACCGTGCATAGTATATTGTATACAACTTGTGTTTATTTGTGTGTGTGTGTGTGTGTGTGCGAAAATAATTGAAAAAATGTGCGGGACTGGTAACATTTTAGCAGGGCTTGTAACTTTTGAAAGTTACCAGCCCTGATGTCTGGTATGTAATCTGGACAAATTTCCTACACTAATAAGATATTCAAAAGCACACATACTTCATGAGGTCAGTAAATGCAAAGCCATCTTGCCAGCTTTCAACAAACGATGCCCCCTGCCGTTGGGTTGTAAATTGTCCAAGTCGTAGTCTATTCTCCATGCTCCGTTTCCTCACTTCTTTTTTTTCTTGTAATGACTGAAATGCAAAACCAAATACATATCAATGATTCAGCTGACAATTTTGTCTGCAGTAGTGGTTCTGAAGAGAAGCCTACAACGCTCACTACTTAAATAACACAAGCTGAAATTATTTTTATTATGACTGATATTAAAGAAGCAAAATGATTCAAATCCAAGCAGTGCAATATGAAGGAAACACAGCTATAGTGACAGTGTTCTCCCCAAAGCGTTTTAGCGTAGCGGGGCCGCTACTCCATTATTTATGCCGCTACTCTGAGAGATTGCCCGCTACTCTGTGGCATTTCCTGTTACTCTTTCTTTTATCTTGTTAATACATGTGCGAATCTGTTAGTCAGCGTCATCAGCGTCCGGTACTGTGAGCCAAATCAGGTGTGAATGGAAACATGTCAGTGATTACGCAAAGACAATGGACTAATACAGCTTCGTACTTCGACAATAAACACTTTCGCCCTATTTAATTGGGGTAATAGCGAGTATTTTCTCAGTAGCATATTTGGCTGGAAGAAGCAACGATGTCAAACAGCAGAAATATTACGTTGTGGTTCCGCGTAGAACACCCTGCTGGGCCCCTGGTTGCGAGCGATAAACCCACCAGCAACGCGGTCACCGGTACCCCTGTCGGCAGTGGTACTAAACGTGTCCAAGATGATGTTACAACGAAAAGTGCAAAAAAATAAACTCTAGATTTAATGCACAATGGACAACAAAATATACGTGGCTGAGAGAAACATCCGATGGCAAAGGTAAACAAGCAGCCTGTCGGCTGAGATAGCTCCGCTGTTAGCAATGCACATGGCAATTAAAGAACAGAAGATATCATTAGAAAATGAACAAATCTGAGAGAGGTCCACATGTAGTACCTATAATAAATATCAAAGCAATGGACTTGCGGTTTTCAACAAGAAGTCGAAAATATCACTTTTTACCAAAAATTACAAAAATATTCACCAAAATTAGAAAATTAAAGATATCATTACAAAAAGAACAAATCTGAGAGAGGTCCACATGTAGTACCTATATATGTAATATCAAAGCAATTGGACTTGCGGTTTTCAAC